GGCTCAGCAGGAACACCACAACCTTTACAGACCCCTCAAACCCCCTCCTGTCAGAGGAATCACCTCGGCCTACCAGGGCTGGGAAGCACAAGAACACTCACGTGTTTCTCTAAGCTACTCAGTGCCTCCCCCTGCCCCCCAGCATTAAAATACGTAGACTTGAAGGTGCTGCTTCTTGTTTCATAGCTCCTGAGATCAACTGTTCGCAGTGTATTTTCCTATTTTTGAAATTACCTAAAACAAGGTAAAAAATAGAGAAAAAGAAAGAAAACAAGACTAGTTTCAAATAGTGCTATTTTTTTTCTGTTTTGGCACTCTAAAAATATTTGCGTCTGTAATTATAAAACCATGTGAACTCTTTTATTATTAAAATTGAAGCTACCTTCTCCTTCTGGAAATGTCTGCTTACATTGACAAAAGAGCTTCAGGAGCTGAATGAATGCCACAGCAAACACTTCTGTATGCAGGTAGCTCAGTACATGGGCAAAATGCTAAGTGTCCCTCAGACTTAAAGTGTGGCAAAATATCAGTCAGCAATTCAAATGCAATCAATCAAAGGCTGTAGAAAATGATGACCTAATTAATATTTGATAAAGGTATATTGGTTATTATACTAATAAATTCATTTTTCCTTCACTCCTCTTCCTCTCCCTTTGCAAAATATTCTATGGGTATACAAAGCAATTTACTTTTCTATTTGTGCTTTAACAAGTTTGAAAAGAGCAAATCACTTTGAAACTCCAGAGAGATTGGACAGGAGCTAAATGTTTTCCTTGGCAGATAACAGGATACGATGGTTGAGATTAAGTTAAACTTACGTGCGTAAAAATAAATAGGCGGTACATTGCCATCTCAAATCTATAGACTTCTTCCAAAAAGGCTCCCCTAATTTAAATAAAGAATGCATAAGGTAATGCATCAGCTACACACCAAATATTGACCCAACATTCCTCTTTTTTATTCATAGAAATCACATTGGGAGCACCACTGAGATGAAGCTTTTTGCAGCCTCCTCCCCTCCCCAGTTTTTTTCCTAAAGCAAAACAACAAAACCTGACCCATGCTTACATGTGTATTTCAGAGCATCTGGCCCAGAAAATTTTTATGAGTTTGGAAAAGTTTTGTCAAAGACCCTGAAAATCACTATAGCAGTCAGATCATCATTGCAAACTATTATGTACATAGGCTGAATCCAAATCCCATTTGAAGGCAGTAGAAAAACCCCCGTCACCTTCAGAGGCCTTTGGATCAGATCCTTTGTTTCCAGAGGTACGGAATAACAAATTTTAAATGTATGCAAGAACAAACAGTATGCAACTACTGAATAAATGGTCACACTAATCTGTGAAAAAAGACAGGTTTTACAAGGGGCAACTCAAAATGAGTAGAGCTTATATTTGATGGTATATATTTTTTAGAAAGAGGCTGCAAAGGGCCCAATCCTGGGCATTCTATTCCTACATATCCATCTACAAATGAAGGCATCCTGAACTGAATTATGTATTATTTTGGAGATCATAAGTCAAATATAGGTAAATCCTACTGGTACGGAAGATATAAAATATCTTGTGTGAGTGCAGAGGACAGATCTCTGCATCATTTCTAAGGAAATCACAAGCTGGTTTGCTCGCTAGTGAGAAGTTACAGGCCAGATCTCTCAGCAATTTCACAATGCGCACACGGACTGTGTTAGTGAGTATCTGGTAGAGGAGGATTGCTCCAAAGCCCCTCAAACCCAACAGAATTCAGCCTGTTGTGGATCAGGTACGGGGTCCAACACGCGAACAAGTACAGATTTGCACAGCCAGTACATTTAGAGTGGGATAAGCTTAGGACTTGCAAAATGCACGTGTGCACTTGAAAAACATCTACCCATCCATTTTCCACGTACTGGGCTCACGCTGCTGAGGAATGTCTACTGTGCTGGCTACAGGGATTTCAACTTTCTGTCTCCTGGCTGTACCACTGAGTCTAGCTAGCTGTACGACCTCGAACACACGAGCACTTATCTCTGCGAAGATCAGATGCCCTTTCGGGCACCCAGGCTGCGCCAACACCCATGGAGCTACGAAGCGACACGCTCTACCCTCTGTCTTATTTGGGAAACAAAGACATACAATCGTATCTCTAAATTATCCCCTCTCCCCCCGCCAGGTACAGGCACCGTAAATCCAAATGGGAACTGTCTGGCAGTGGGGCTTTGTTATGCATCCTGGACCTGCCCGAGCACCACCATCACAGGGGGAGGAGAGAGGGCTGATTACAGCACCTGCTTCAAGCTGTGGGTGACTGACGCAGTTGGGAGGAAAATGCCTCATTAGAGCACGTTTCCATGTTCCTGAGGGAAGGGGTCGGGTCACAGGCCTGCCCTGCCCCATGTGCCCGTGTGCACGGCAGACCCGGTGATGCAAGGCCCTGCCAAGGCCCATAGGGCCACAAGAACATGTGGCACCTGGGCGAAGGCCAGCACAGCACAGAACCCCTCCTGCTCGCAGGGGAGCTGCTGAAGCACTGAGTGGATGGGAATTAGCCCACCCTAAAAAAATATTTTTTTTCTTTTTCAAAACAAAACTGGATAATAATAAAGCATTCCTTCCACTCCACCTTTTATCTCTCTTTAGCTCCTACAAAATGTTTATGGATACTTGGTACATATTTGGAGAAGATAGTGCTGTACCCACACACCCCACAAAATACAACCCAGCCTTACAGTTCTATTGATCCACTATATTCCAAGAAGATGAGAACCTGGGATGGCACCCACAGTGTATCTGAAAGTGCTAACTCCAGCTCCATTCCCTTTTCCTTTTTCTTCTCCACCTCCTCCCTTTTCCCTCTCCTTCATCTATAATAAAATCTCTCTCACCCTGGCCAGACCTGGCAGTGTGCATCTGACAGAACCGCAGTTAATTTTAAAAAGTTTCGGCAGACACCCCACTTGTCATCTCTGATAGTGAGGATGCCATGGCAGCCCTCCTGCCTGGGCTGTGCACCCGCTCCCCGGGGATCAGCCCGCTCCCCCCGCATCGCCACCGTGCCACGCATGGAGCACGGCACTCCTGCCAGGCCTGAAAAACATGGACCTTGCCCTGGTGTTCCCTGCCTCACTATCACTCAGTAAAAGACAGATTTTTGGTTAAGATAGGTGGGAGCTTAAGAATGGACCATATCAGCAACACCTAAAATATCCTTTTGGAGGACAAATATCCATTTGGAGGATGAGTGAGAAGGACGGAGCTGGGAGCAAAAACAGTGCATCGTAGATTATTTTCACTGTTTCCCTCAATTATTATCTGAAAATATGCAAAACTTCATCCTAGCCAGCTATTAAAAAAAATAGTATTTTAATTAAGCAAAGTATTATCTATGCTTCTAATTTTTCATTCCATGCACCAAACAATTTGTACGAGAATTTTGGCAGTCCAACACAAAACACTTTCAAAATGTAAATGCTCCAGTTCACGTGCATAATTCCTGAAGGCATTCATCTGAGGGGCTGAATAGTTCTATCTGCAGTTGTATTTCAAGTTACAGACTAAAAATAATTTTAATTTTGAAACCTGGAAATCACCAATCTAATGAACAGATTTTAATCCCTCTTCAATTAACATGCACGTGGTCTTTCTGCACTGCTATGTTCATTTTCAGTATGCTTACAGAAATCCTCCCTGCAAAATGAACCAGGCAATTCTGCTTATTTTATGTTTAGAGACATCATTTCTAGCAAGCCACCACAAAATAATGAACTAATACACCAGAAGCAATTTTCTATTCCTTTAACTGCTAGTCCTCAGCAACAAAACAGCCCCCCAAGTATTACAACTTAAGGATTAAAAAAAAATCCTCTTTAGATAAACAGTATCATTAGGAGCAATACCACCGAGTACTCTGAAATTTCTCACTGAGGAGTTTTCAGCAGTTTATGATTTTATAACGACTGCAAGTTAAAACCCTCAACTAATATTTTATCTGCATTGTGCTGTGTAGCTACTACGGGCCTCTAAAAACTCCTTCGAAGAAATTAATTTTAGCTATCACCAAGCCATATGCTCCTAAATTCCTTTCTTAATCTACACAGCTCACTAAAACATTCTCCAGCTACTTTTAGAGTGATCGGCCAATAAATACTCTTTTACTACTTACAGTTATGAGTTGTATTTCAGTTTATGTTGCCATAAAACACTTCTAATGCAAAGCCAATACAGAGATGATTTTGATACAATGCTGTCAATGGCCTGAATTTAAAACTATTTGTGTATAAGCACTAGGTATTTTCCAATTATTTTGTGGGAGTTTTTTGTTTGTTTTGTGGACAAAACCCCCCAAACTTATTTGCATTTCTTTAGTTATTTACTTTGAATCCTCAATGTAAATAAAATTAGATTAAAATATTTTACAGAAGTGTCCCATTTTTTTCCAGTGTACAAAATGCTTTTTATTTTAGAAATATATACAAAAAGAATAGATTCCTTGTAAAGTATCTTTAAAATATATTCATTTCCAGATCCTTTAATTTGCACATGGACTCGTCTACATAAAGAATTCAAAGTAAGTATTATCATTAAGTCTGGCAATTTCATAGTAGTAATAAATCCAAAGCGTTTAACTGTCAAATTGTGCCTAACTCAGAACATCTATGTCCACATGCTTCTTTGGTCTATAAATGGCATTATTCTAATATTTAAGTGTTCTACTTAAAATAAATTCCTTCATTAACACCAGAAGAGAGTGGGAGTATGCGTGAGCATGTGCCTGTGCATGCAAGTAGAAGAGAAAAAGAAAATACACTTATGGCACTTACGGACTTTTAAAGGCCTCAAAAAATAGTTTTAAACAATATATTGTAAAGATAGCAATTATAAACTGATCCCGAACAATTCCAGGTATTACAAAATTTAAATATGAACCCTGAAACACTTATGTTCAAATTCACGTTGCTAGGAAAATCAGGAAGCACAACTGTGATGAGATACAATGCCTGAAGATCATCACATAGTTACCTGCAGAGCCAGGAGCTGAGCAATGCGGCCGCGTCCCCTCTCTCGTGTGTGCCCCTACAAACACACCCCACGCACTGGCTGGTGGCTGCCTTGGAGCTGTTCTGCACAGGGATGCTTAATAATGCTCCACACAGGCTGAAATATTAAATAAATGTAAAAAACGTGCACCGGATAACTTTGTTTCTTCTCTGAAGCTCCCTTCTATTTTTATTTTTCTCGAAGGGAAGGGGGAAGCGCCATTCAGGAAAGCAGCTATATATTGTGCTCAATGAAGGCAGGACTGGCACAAGTCCTAGAACATTTGCATTCAGAAATAAAAGCTGTGATCGACCTTTGTCTGCTAAGAAAATGAAGCTTGCTGGTTTTAAACAGCCTAGCGAAGGGAGGGGTAGACTCGATAGAGAAGGAGAAGAGAACCTAAAAAACAGCAACAATAGCAAATCTAAGTCTAACACATCCCTAATCGCCAGCAAAGCAATCCTCCCGCACGAGCGCGGAGCTCTCCGGGCTGATCCGCACTCCTGGTTAATCATAAATGAGCAGGCAGACGCGAGCCAATGTGCCGATCCCCACGTAGTTCCCAAACTTGGTTCTCCCGGCTGGCATCCCCCGCGCCCCGGCGGGAGCAGCTTACCCGGCAGGGCTGGATGTGGCTCCGCAGTCCCCGCGGGTGGCTCCGGGCGGCGCGGCCGGGCAGGGCCTCGCCCAGCAATCCGCACCGGCCCCGCGGCAACAATGGGCGGCTGCGAGGGTGGCACGGACGGCGGAGAAGGGAAGAAGGCAAGGCAGTAGGGCAGGCAGAATGGAAGGGAGAGGCGAGAGGAGGGAGGGAGGGAGGGAGGGAGGGAAGGCGAGAGGGAGGGGGGAGAGACAGAGGGAGAGAGGAGGGGAGGGGAAAAAGAGAAGCGTGTTAAGCTTGTCTGGTAGTTAACAAGTCTTGAATGAAGAATGTTAGCAAACAGACAAACAGCATGTCTGATGCATGCTAATAGTCCTGGCTTCACCACTGACACTATGAATAATTCAGCAGAAAGGAGGGAAAAGAAGAAGAGAGGGGAAAAAAAAAAAAGGCGCCCTCCACCCTCCCTTCACGCTCCCAAATGTCTGCAGAGGAGACGGGAATAAAAAGTGTGCCGCAACTTTCTCCTTCCCACCTATTGCACAGAAAATACTCAGCAAAAAGGCCGATCGGGCACCAGCCCTTTCGCCAGCGCTGCACTCAGAGATTTTCGATTCCTACTTTTGTTGCCTATTAATCTCCAACACCCCCCCCCCACACACACACACCTCTTTACCGCCTATTCTACTTCTTTTGTCTAGGAGCTGGCACCTGTCCCAGAGACGGCATTTTACTGCACATCCCCTTCTCCTTCCTCGGCAGAGGAGGGGGCGGGGGGAGATCTGCAAGGACGAAACAGCCTGTGCACCCCCTATCCCCCCCCAATATTTCCATTCCAGCCACGGTCCAGTTACAAGGGGTTTGGAGGGATATCACCCGTCCTATTTCACATGGCGCAGATACTTACAGCTATTAAAAATATATTTCTATAAAAGAGAAAGGCAGAGAGAGAGAGGCTCGTTCCCTGAGCAGCACTGCGCACTGGGAGTCAGGGGAGGAAAATCACAAGTAAAAGGCTTCATCCTCAGAGCACACGAACCAGCAAAGCCAGAGCAAAGAGTCATTGCTCAGCCAAAGGGATCCATTTCCTGAGCAGAGGGAAAAGGGAGAGAGGGGAAAGGGACGAGCAGAGGGCGAGCCCTGGGCGCTTTGCCCGCCGCATTAGGATGTACAACGCAGGAGAAGCGAGAACCAGCCCCAGTCGGGAACGCTGGGAGAGGAGAGGAGGGCTCAAGCAAGCAGAGGAAAAAGAAGATCCTCTTTGCAGCATTTTTAAAAGTTCTGCTCTGGCAAAGGCCGTCTGAAGGGGAGGCCCTTGCAGCAGGAATGCGAGCACCAGCCGCCTTTCCAGAGTCCGGCCTCCCCCTTGTGAGCGACTGGAGCAGTCTGGCGGAGGAGGAGGAGGACATGAGCCAGCGAAACGCAGCGGGCTGGAGCTGATGATGAAAGCGGCACGGCCCTGCGCGGGCAGGCTCCTTCCATCCCCCGCAGCCATGGGCAGACGGACGGCACCGAGCCCGGCCCCGCCGCGACCCCCGCGGGCCGCGATGGGGACCCGGAGGGAGGGAGCGGTGGGAGCAAAGGCGCTGCGCTGGAACGTAAATGTACCCACGCTATGGCAATATGCTTGACAGGGCAGTGCGGCTAATGAAGCTTTTAACTGGGGGGAGGGGAAGCTGGGGTGGTTTCTACGGACGTATTGCCGGGATTCATACGGAGAGAAGAGGCTCCCCATTACACTCACACGTACCTCCACGGCTCTGTGTCGCACAGCAGTCCGCAAGGACCACGGACTGCAGCACACACACGCACAAAACCAGCCCCAACCCACTCAGCTGAAAATGGCTATTTAAGAAAGTAAATACTGTATGTGACAAAAAAACTTTGTGATTTTGTTTTCTCATGCCCTTACTTCCAAACCAGCTGCACAGCCAAGCTCAGGCTGCTTGGCCCTTATAACTCTATTGGCACCGAGTCAAAAGCTGATAAGCATTTGGGCGAGACAGCTCAACTGCTGTGCTGGAAGAAAAACAGCTGCCATGATTGCTGTTTGATTGAGAGCACTCGCACACACTCACAAAAAACATACCGGGCTGCAAGGACGGGCCACAAATGCCTGAGGATTCGGCTTCAGAGGATCAATACACATTTCCTTAAAAAAAAAAAAAAAAAAGTTTTATCTATTTTCTCCTCCATTCTTCCCCCCCCCTCTTTTAAAGAAAACATACTGCATCGACTTGCTTTTCTTCTTCCCATCCCCCCCTCCATAACCTAAAGCAAACTCAAGGAATTGTGCCAAAAGTCCCGTTGCTAGTTACCAAGTGCATTTTTTTAAACGTCCCTTTGATACTTCTTTCCCTCGTGCTTGCCATGGAATATGCAAGTAAGATAATCTTTCCATTACTTACAAGCAGTAATTAAAAAAGGAAAAAGAACCTCTAGCTCAGTGTTCCTTTCCTTCTTTCTCTCTTACGGGGCAAGAGGAGGCAAGCGAGGGGGAGAAGGATGTTTTTGCTCTTTGCCGAGTCCAACATTTGGCTTTTTCCATTTGTGGCAGATCACTGTAACGCTATTGTAAAACAACTTCCTGCCCCTTTTGGCTCACGTTCCAGAAGCTGCTCAGCTAAGTTCATAGCACAAACTTTTTTCCCCTTCGCTGAAGAAGAGAGACAAAAAAAAAATTCCTGCAAATTATTTTCCCCCTTTTCTGGCTAATGGACTCACAAGGTGAATTTATTGCAGCTCTTCAAGAATGTTACACAGGAGACGTCGGTATCCCAGCTGGATAATTCCTAAGATGAAAAGGTGGGGTCATTATAAATATATGTCTGTGTGTGTCTGCATTTTAATTTTGTCATTTTGAATTGTAAGTCTCAGTACCATCAGGTGGATAATGAGCTAAGCTGCTTCATCTGCCGTACTAATTTGTATATCTATCATAGCACAGATCATTGGCTCAGTACATACAGCCTCCTACTTTTCAATTGCTTTTGTACTCTAAGGTGACCTGCATCTCTCCTCTCCCTCCCTTCCTCTAAATGCTCAGCCTGATGAAAATACCCACTGGAAGCTCCTAAACTCTCTCTGCTAGGAACAGGAGGCACTGCAGCCTCTCTGCTCTAAGCCAAAAAGGAAAACTAAGGCCTCCACAAGTTGCTCTCTCACGGTCTGTCCCTCCCTCCCTCCCTCTCCCTCTGTTTCTCTCATAGCAACAGCATTTCTTGGTGTGCCTGCTTTGGCATACATCAGCATTTCCACCGTCCAAGTGTCCTTTTGCGTCACATCTCGCCATTTCACCCAGCCAATGAAATCTCCTTCTTGCAATAAAAATATAGAGACTTTTGCTGTTATTGGTATATTCAAAATTTTTTTTCATGTGCTCTCCTAACAAAAAATGTTGTCAAGCATTTGATTTGCCCTACACGGGGTGGGGGGGAGGAAGGGTGAGGGAGGAGACTGTACTGGATTCAACCTTGAAGAGTCTTCTTTGTGGAAAATATGTTACCGTAAGAAAAAAGGGATTACACAGTAACTTAAGGAAAGTCATAGTTGTCCCTCTTACTTCCCATTGATTTTGCTTATGCTGTCATTGCTTTCCTGATGTACTTTTATAGTATCTAGGCAGCTTCAACTGATTGGAAAAGTCAATATGATGTGTTTCTAAGAGTTTATAAAATATTCTTCAGGAAAAAGAATATATTAATTGATATTTTATTCCTCTAAATATTGGTCATGAGGTGATAGGAAAAACTGCAATGGAACTCAAAGCGTGAGTTTCTATCCCACCCAAAGAGGCTGCTCTCCAACACCGAATCCTGAGGAATGGAGCAAAGAGCTCCAGAGTCAGATTCTTTCCAAGATGCCCTTCCTTCTCCCCCAGTCTCATACGGTTGTTCAAAGTGCAGCATTTCACTGACCAGCTGTGGCCAGGATGGTGACACAGGCTCCATCCCATGCCCAAGGTGTCCCAGGTCGTGAAGCAGCCGTTGGAGCTGCAGGCACAGCTTCTGGCGTGGCGAGCCCTGCCTGGGCTGGGAGCAGCACAGCCACCAAGCCCTGCTCCCTGCTGCCAGGCCTGACTCCTACCCCCTCTGCTCCCAAAGTGAACAGCATCAGCCACATCCAGAGGCACAGGGTGGCACGTGTGGCTTTCCTGGAGATGGCTGGCCATGCCACAGCTCCAATAACTCCTGCAGTGCCACATTTAGGGAATCTTTGTTACACATTCCCATCCAGCCTCAGGTCTCCAGAAAATGTTCAACCACTGGCATTCTGAGGAGAAGAAACATTTCTTTTGTAAGCCAAATATATGTTTTATGGTTTACCCTTACCAACTTTTTTTTTTTTTTAATGGTGTGAAACCACTAAATGTTTTTAATATTTATTTTAGGGAATTATAGTAAAAGCATAGTAAAGATTATCAGGATATAGTTGACAAGATATTTAAACAGTAACTTCCCCACAAATTTTAATTTTGGTAAAATGACACCTACTAATTCTGACCCCCTCTAATAACTTTGGTCTCTGTTGCATACAGACTCTGGATGCGGAGGATATGTGTGCCTAAATTCTGGGTGGTTAAAAAGTAAAAGCAAGCAAAATTTCTGCATAAGAGCCTTAGCAGCAGACAGCCATAATGTCCAGCTAAAACTCTTATCATTTTTGTTTAAAAATAATGGCATGACATTCCGGTAGTATTTATTTTAACAGAACATGCACAAATGAGAACGTTAACCCTGCACAGAAGAAGAGAGATTACATGCTAGAGTGCAGGCAACAACTTTTAATGCCAATGTAAAATGACAGGTAGACCTATTTTTTAGGGAAGGATCGGACTTAACTACGCAAGGAGCTTAATTCACAGTGTTTCACTTGTATTTAATCAGCTTTCTGAATGACTTTACACCCTTTTATCAGACACTACCTTTAGCTCCTTATTTATTTGTATGCTTTCTATATAAAATACAATCTCCTTTTTCTTTACTCTCTATACTACCCTTGATTTCTCACTTTTGTATAAATGTGGAAACCGCTGCGGTTCCTCCCTGCTTCTGCCCACTCCTAACAGGGACAATTCTGGTGCTTTTGGAGAGTTAAAAGTGCCTCGCCTTTACACAAGTACAGTCCTATTCTCCCATTCAAAGCTGCCCTTGCTCCAGGAGATATCTTACCACATTCTATATGTCACCACAGTGGGGAAACTGGATTGAAAGTTGTCTAACTTTGGGTTACCACAGTACTAAAAAATAAGGATTCAGGAAAGAGGAAAACAATTACACAAAGTCCAACTGCTAAGTTTCACTTAATAGAAATGGAATTCTAAAGAGGGAAGTGGAGAAATTATTTTAAGATTCAGTATGCCTGAATAAATTCAAATTATGTAAACAGTAGTAAGCCAGTACTTTCACACCACAGTTTATATTATTACATAATTCTATAACCTCTCTCTTTCCCTTTATCACAAGTTCTGCCTATTGGAAACTCATTATAAATACTCCTGCTGAACACTAATTCATTTGCTTCTATTTTAACTCGGAGTAGCATCTCTTGTTCTTTGGTCTCAGTTCAATGTGATACAGACATCCACAATGAGGTCACCTCTGAACAGACTTTTTTGCTTTCCAGACAGTATAGCTAATTTTCAGTATGGGGTGGTTTTTAATCTAGCAGCCACCAGGAAATATAACTAAAAAGTCATTAATAAAATAATAAAAAATATAAATAATAAATAATTAATAAAACGTTATCATGTACATTTTTTAAAAAAATAATACAATCAAACTTATTTTTTAGGATTAAGTTATCCAGAAAAGTATAAATTCTTTTTGGTTTTTTGTACCATTAAAATAATTCCAGTTCATCGCCAAAAATAGCTTTACTTAACATTTAGAGAGCTCTTCTTTTTAAAGGCACTCTCCAGGAATTAAAAATAATAATTATCAAAATCTATCTATGAAGGCAAAGCAGTCTTGCCCATCGCTCCCGAAGGAAACACAGGCACTCTGTAGGATTACAGCTGGTGCACATCAGAGAAAGGACAGCACTTACACAGCAGGCAGGTTACTTGGGAAAGTTCTATCTACTGTTGCATAACTTGCATTAATTCCAGTGGATCAGTGGTGTATTAAATTATGGGGGGAAAACATGAAATCCCAAACAGACAATTCTGAAAAGATATGAACTGTAAAGGCAAGCTGAATATATTTCCACACCCTTCCCTTCAAATCATCATGAAGCATTTTGCAAAAACACTTCCCCCCGTACACTGTATTTTAACAATAATGTTTTATGGAAAACTTGGCATTAAACTGGTACCAACATAAGTGAAACTCTGGCCGGACGACAAGTGGGTGTTTTTTTAGGTTTTTTTCTTTAAGAAAGGAGGCATTCAGTGGGGCGTTGCATCAGCAGGATTTTAAGGGTGCTACCGACGCAATTCTGTTTATCTTCCAACATTTTCCCCCTTTTTTTTTTTGCTGTACAGAGCTTGTAAGAGAGGGCAGTGCTATTTTTTCTGCCTGTGCCCACTGCTGACAAGGCAGGGCAGCAGCAGCAAGTCCCAGCCCGGGGCAGGATCGGGTGGAGCGCCCTGTCCCCGTCCGTGGTTATGCCGGGCTGGAGGGTTCCCTAGCCCGGATCACCGGCCCCGCTCCTTCCTTCCCGGCCCCGCCGCAGGTAAGCGGCGACCCCTTCCCGGCCCCGCTGCCGTGCCTGCCTGTCCCGCTGGGAATGCTGTCCCGGCACTCCTGCTCTCCCCGCGAGCACGGCCCTAAAACGAGCCGTGGGGCTGCAAACTCAGCCTTCCCCTCACCTACAGGCATTCCTGCTGAGAATCCTCTGCTCAGTGCCTCACAGAAAGAGCTGCCGGAGATTACAAAAAAAATAATATATGTAATATTAAAAAGGGGGAAGAAAAAGGGAACACATTGTGGGAAAAAAAAAAAAAAGTTGATTTTTACATAATAATAAGCTGCAAAAAGTAAACAAGTATACAAAATGAAAACTTACAATTTCTCAGGTCTACAAGAGGCTTAAAATACCTTTATATTGTAAATGTGTTACAGGTTTTTATACTACTCAAGAGCTGTCCAGTGACCCAAGTTCTCTGATATTAAGTATCTTTTTTTTAATAACAAAATAGTGCAACAATCCCTAACGAAGTGAACTGCAGTGTGAACAAAAATGACAAACCACAAATTCCTCTGTGTTTTTTTGGTAGTGAAATGTTATCAAAGCTGAAAAATTTGCATAAACTGTAAGAAAATCAAAAGGGACGTCCATTACGGTCTCACATGGACAGCACAGCTGCAATTCCTTAGCACACACAGACGCACTCCAAAATGGTTGTGGATACAGAATTCACAGGGCATGATCTGTCTATGAGCTGAGCATCAGTATCAGGTCTATTTTATGTGGCCAGCTCCAGCTGTGCAGTTCAAGTTCCCGCTTCTCTTTAGTGCGTTAAAGCTACAATATATGGTCCATACGGTGCACTGATCAGTCCAGCCTGGCTATCCAAGTGTCACTGGAATCTTACATGGTAACACAGGTAAATTTAAATCCCTCTCCTTGAAAAAAGAATTTTCTCACATGAACATTAATGATACATTATTGTTATAATAAAATATAGTGTCAAGAGGATAATGAATCTACTGAAAGTATTCACTTATTTATCTGGCAGACAAATACAGGCTTCTACATTCTATCAGCTGCAGGTATAATTTATAGGTGGGGAAAAAAGGTCAATACTTTGTAGAATTTTTGTTCTATTAACTGTCTTCCTGGGAACCAT